GCACTTTTCCTGTAAGGAGTTTTCCTTACAGTGAAATCAAATTCTAACCAAAAGGTTGCTTAGAACCCATGGAACCAGGCAAGAGAAGTTCTCTGGAGAAAATTAGTGGTCTGATGCATGATGCCATGGTGGTTTTGAAATGCCCACAAACACAGGAAGAGTGGAAACAAATCCATAGGTGCTGAGAAAGAGAGAACTGATCTAATCTGGCTGGAGCATGGAAGGACAGAGTAAGAGGAGTTGGGGTGGAAAGTGGTTAGCAAGGAACTCAAGAGTGCAATGGGAAACCACTGAATGTGTAGTAACATGGTTAAATTTGCTATGGAAAGATTAATCTGAATATAAGAAGCAATTGGAGATGAGCAACATTGAAAGAAAGGAGTTAAGGCTATTGTGACAGTGGCCTAGGTACAAAAATTTATGCAGTTGGGCCTCCCCTGATGGTGCAGTGGTTGAGAGCTGGGCTGCAAGGCTGCCTGCAGCCTCTGCAGCGCCAGTTCGTTCCTGGGCCGCCAGCGAGGGTCCCACAAAAAAAAAAAAAAAAAGCAGCAAAAATTTATGCAGCAGTTTTAACCAGCAGCACGGCAGTGGGGATGAAGTGGATACATTTAAAACAGGACTTTTCAAAGTTTAATATACATGTGAATCAATCACCTAGGGATGTTGTTAAAATGCAGATCCTGGTTCATTAGGTATGAGGTGGGCCCTAAGATGCCGCATATCTAACAGGTTCCCAGACAGTCTGTCATGCCAATCTTGTCAGTGGGCGACCACACTTTGAGTAGCAAAAATTTCAGAAATCGGGCCTCCCTGGTGGCACAGCGGTTGAGTGCTGGGCTGCGAAGCTGCCCGCAGCGTCTGCAGTGCCGGTTCCATGCCCGGTTGAGGGGCGAGGGTCCCATATGGCACGCAGACCTCTCCTGCCACCCGCTGCTCCCCTCAGCAGTGTGCTTCGGTCCTTCTGCCTGCTCTGCTCCCCGCTCTGGCTCTGGTGAATCTCTCACCCTCCCGCGCTTCTGACTGTACCCAGTGCTTGTATAAATAAATAAATAAATCTTTTAAAAAAAATCAGAAATCCTTAAATACAATTTAAGAGTTTGTGATTGGTTCAAGAGGAGGGTTTGGGTGTAAGGTAAAATGAGTATATAGGTGAAGGTGATGCTATCTACAGTTACAACATGAGAAACAGGTTTGGGGTGGGTAGAAAATAACAGAACATATTTATTAGATACTTTCCATCTGCCAGGCTCTTTACATATGTTGTCATATTTACTCTGTACAACAATCTTTTGAAATAGGTACTATTGTGATCTCTTCTTTTTTAAGAGGAAAATAAGGTTAAGGTCATACAGGTGGTAAGTGGAGCAGCCAAGAATCAAATCTTCCAGCAGTCTGAATGCAGAACTCATTCCATTAACCACTGGCACCTGTGGAAGTCATGTGGCTCTGTCCACGTAGACACCATTACCTGGAGTTCATTTTGACCAACAGTTAAATGTCTGGAAGGAATTAGGGCATTGGAGGGAATGCAATCACACAAGAGTGACAATCTAACCCCTCAGAATACTATCAGTCTTGTTCCATTTTTCTCCAACATTTAATTATTACAAAGGAGGAATACGAAAAAAACAGGTTTTAGCTTTTTATAATTTTTTTTTCATTAAGTGCCATTAGTGCTTATTCTTTGTTCCTGAAATTTAAGACTTTTTCCAGACAATGTCTTGAAGTTTATTTTTGCTTATTAACTTTGCTGGATCCCACTGAATTCATTCCATTTTCTACCTCCAACTCAGATCTTTTCAACCTAAAGAAAGTTTTCATTATTATAATCTGAATTAATTGTCTCTAATTGATTTGTTGTCTTCTCTTTCAAAAAAAATAGAGAGGATCTAAGAAAACAAACTATTAGACTCCACTTGCATTAAAACAGATGTGGTACGTTTGTAACATTTCCTCCAAGGCTGTCTTGTGCAAGAAAGAAGAGCTAGAGATATCAATCATTCTACTGCGCAAGTTTGAGAGGCAGTGCTAGCTATTCCAGAGCTCAAGCTCCCTAATAGTACTTGTGTGTTTTTTGTTTTAAAGATTTATTCATTTTTTACAAGAACTGGGGTACAAGCCAGAGGTGCGGGAGGGTGAGAAGATTCACCAGAGACAGTGGGGAGCAGAACAGGCAGACGGACTGAAATACACTGCTGAGGGGAGCAGCGGGCGAGGCAGCAGAGGTCTGCCACCATGTGGCGCCATGTGGGCATCTCCCCAGCCAGCTGGGAATCGAACTCATGCCGCAGAGGAAGCGGACAGCTCCACATGCTGCGCTCAACCCACTGCGCCACCGGGGAAGCCCTCTTTTTTTTAGTTCTTTTTAAAAGATTTATTTATTTACACATACAAGAGCTGGGGTACAGGCCAGAAGTGCGAGGGGTGAGAGGATTCACCAGAGACAGAGTTACAGAGCAGGGAACAGAACAGGCAGACTGACTGAAACACACTGCTGAGGGGAGCAGGGGGCCAGTTAGGAGAGGTCTGCTGTGCCATGTGGGTAGCTCCCTGGCCGGGGAGCGAACTCATGTTGCAGTGGCTGTGGATAGCTTCATAGGATGCATGGGTTGCGTCTTAACCACTTGCGCCACCAGGGAGTTCCCAGTACTTGTGTGTGTTATTTAAAATATTTATGTTTCAAATGTACAGCATTACAATTCGTGATCTGGATATACAACATCATGATCTGTGCTATTTTCTTTCAGGATTTGCTTTAGTCTTTAAGATGTTCTCCTATCCACGTTCTTCTCTTTTAAAGAATTCTCTCACTCCTGAATTTTTCTTATGTTTATTTTCTATATTGCTTCTGCATTGTCAAATCTGCTTTTTTACTCCTTTGACCATTGTTTGTTTGGCTACTGTGAAATTAAATTCATATTACTGTTCATTCACTGGCCTTTCCTTTAAAAGACTCAATGTACTTTTTTAAATTTAGAGTTAAGAATTATGTGTTTTTGGGTCTTCCTGGTGCGCAAGGGGTTAAGACGCAATCTATGATGCTGGTCGCAGCCACTGCAGCATGAATTCAATCCCTGGCCACATGGCTCAGCAGACCTCTCCTGTCTTGCCCACTGCTCCCCTCAGCAGTGTATTTCAGTCAATCTGCCTGCTCTGTTCCCCACTGTCTCTGGTGAATCCTTTCACTCCCTACACCTCTGGCCTGTACCCCAGTTCTTGTATACATAAATAAATAAATCTTTAAAAAAATTATGTGTTTTCTCACACTGGGCTCTGTTCATGAACTAAACATATTTCAAAGGAACAATTTTTTAAGATAATAAAGTTGCTGCTTTTATTGAAAATTTATATATAAATATATAAACAAATACATAAACATACATAAATATAAACATACATAAATTATATATATACATAATAACCACTTTCACCCCCCCCAAAAAAAAAGACAGCTATGCTAGAGAAAATATTAATTGGGGATTTACTCAGTGTGGCAAGACAGATTTTCATCAATACAGAATAAATAGTAACAGCATTCTTGAGCCAATGCTGATACCCAGCAAACTGTAGGAACCAAACTGAATATAACGAAGAATTATCCTGAGTAAAAGATGGTGTATTCTTAGATAAGATCATCTTTATAAACTGAAAGCTCACATTCAGATCATAGGACTGTCTACAGTAAAGAGCCATCCTCTGAAGAAAGCAGGGGAGATGAACTCTAGTGTTACATACGGCAGAGTAGGAGTAAAAGTCATTCGTGACTATTATCTCCCTCTTAACATCTCACCCAAATTTCATTATGCTATAAGTAACAAAAATGTTTCCAAAATTTCCTCCCATCAAAAACTGAAGGGAAAATGAGGGAAGGGTTTTCTTCTTTCTTCATAAAGGGCTGATTTTTCTTTATTTTCTTTATTTTCTTTATGTTCGTTCCACTTGTTTCAAAAATCATTTGCTTATTTCCTTTTGAGACTGACCATTTGATATTTACTGATACTTGGAAGTCTAGAAGGTTTTCAAGACCACAGTGTTAGACAATCAGGAAGCAGGGCTTTCCGCCATCTTTCCTCTCCCTCCAGAGATGGCATGTGAAATGGTTCAGAAGTTCTGGCTGGATCATTATCTGTCTCAGAGTCTTAACTACGCACCTACTTCAGGATTCCGGTTGGGTTGTTATTTTTCAACTTTTTGTTTGTCACTATTTCTGAGCCTCAGTGTATTTGTCTCATTTTCTCTAGATCTTGATGTTTTGATTATAGCATTTCTACCTCTGCATTTATATTTTCAGTATGCATTATATTTAAATTTCAATCATCTGTTTAATCTGGGTTTAATGTATTCCTACACCCACTCTCGAACCCCTTACTCCCCTTTACATTTCTTCAGAGTGCACATACATACCTACATACACATGCACACAAGCATACTTTGTCTATCTTTTCCCCCTAGAATGTAATTTCTGTTAGGAAACACTTGTTGAACCAACCTCTTTCAGGTTCCTGGCTCTTATCAGACTCTCTACTTTTTGGTCTGAACCTTTGTGTTCACACTCTCAGGACGCAAATCTTCCTCGGTCTCAGTCGTGCCTTTCAGTTTCTGACCTAGTCCCGGGGCTCTGAGGTTGTGTGTGGGCCACGGACTCACACAGGTCGTCAATCTCCACTCGCTGCGCCGCGTCGCTCTCTGGCTGAGTAAGGAAGCGGCTGCTGGGCTCTCCGTGCCCCCGGCCGTTTCTCAGGCTCAGTCTTGTGGGTTGTCCTGACACCTCGACGTCCTTCAGCATCTTAAGAGCCGCCTCTCACGCCGCCTCCCCAGCGAGCGCACGTGACCGCGCCGGACTGCGCCTCGCCTGCCGGGGGGGCGGCGCCTCGAGGCCACCGCAGCCGCCTCCTTGAGCTCACCGCTTCCGCTGGCCCGCGCGGCCCCGCCCCCAGGCCGCAGGGAGCCAATCCGTGTGTACGCTTGCTGGCCCCGCCCCGGCGCCCTCCTCGGAGCGCGCCCCGCCCTCCGCCCGCCGGCCCGCCCGTCAGTCAGGCAGGCAGGCAGGCAGGCGTCTGTCCGGGCGGCCGAGGGTGCTTCAGCTCTCTTGCTCCTAGCGGTCCGGCTTCCTTCCCGGCCAGCGGCGGCGGCTGCATCCGCGGCGGCGCGGTCCCTCCGGGAAGCGCGGCGTGGGCCGAGCGGCGGCCGCGGAGGGGAGAGGCCGGCGCGGCGGCGGCGGCGGCGGTCTGGCAGCCAACATGGCGGCAGCGGCGGCGGCGGGCGCGGGCCCGGAGATGGTCCGCGGGCAGGTGTTCGACGTGGGGCCGCGCTACACCAACCTTTCGTACATCGGCGAGGGCGCCTACGGCATGGTGTGGTGAGTGTCCGCGCCACGCTCGGCTGGGCGGCGCCCGCCCGCCGGCCCACCGCCCGGGGCCGCAGCGACCGTAACCGCGGCCTCGTCGGCGCCTCAGCCTGCCCCGCTGCTGCGACTCGGACCCGGGACCCGGCAGCAGAAGGGGCCACGGGCGGGACCGCGGGCGGGTCGCGGTTTGGGTATTCGCAGTGCTTCCTAGGCCCGCCCTCTCCTGCCCCTGGAAGATGCGGGGCGGGGTGTGCAGAGGCTGGGACTCCCACCCCGGGCGAACCCTAGATCCCCCCAAATGGGCTGCGCGGATTTTACTTTCTGGGTCCCTGAGAAGGGACCAGACGGCCCCCGCCTCCCCAGTTCACTAGGGTCCTGGCCTTTTTGTCTGCCGATTGTAAAACCGGGAATTCCTTCCGAAGGTTGTTGGTGGTGGTAGTGATGGAGAATGTAGTCTTGAAAGCGGTTCTCCTTGGCATGGGAACACCAAAATAATAAATTTTTCTTCCGTCTTCCTTGTTTTCCTCCAACGAGGCTTCCATTAAATATCAATCGTGGTGCTAATGTTGCTCTTCTGCGCAGGCTTTTTAAACAGTGTTAGTGACACACCAGTGTTGGTTGTGGAATATCCCAATCTTCAAGTTTTTAAAATGGATTTAATATCGTACTGTTAGCTTTTCAAGAAGACAAGTCAGCATCGTTCTCTTGGTTTAGTTGAGTCGTTCGGAGTTGGAACTAAATTTGACTTTTTCTTTGTTGAATTCTCTTACCAACATAAATGCATCCAGACATTTTAGCACAATTCCTATGTCCTTTTCTTGTTAATGTTAGTGGTCAGTATGTGTGCAGCCTTGATGGAGTTCTTGAAGAATCACAAGATCGCTCATCTTGATCCAGATCCCTCAGAAATGTTCGTGGAATGAGGGTGATGGTATTGTTTTTGTTTGAACAAACTAGCCTGGAGTGTTTTATGCCGATAAAGTCTTGTGGATGTGTACACTCCCTTACACCTAAATCTTGTGTCTTTTGTGTAGAATGAAGGAAGCAAACTACTATTTATTGAACACTTGTGGCAGTTACTGCGCTAGGTTCACTATTTTATTTGAACAACCATCTTAAAGGAGGTAAGGTGGTATCTTTTTTTCAGGTGAGAGTATCTTGAAGTGAAGCCAATTCCTAAGGTCAGATTTAAGATTGTAGAGTTAGATCTTATTTCAAATGCTGCAGCACTTCTCCATTACACTCTTTTTCTTGAGTAAGATTATCAACAATCTTAGAATTTTACCATGTTACTGTGTTAGAAGCAAGTCTATTTCAGAAACATTTTCAAATTTGAATGATCATAATTTTAGAAATGCCATAGAGGGCGTATTTTACCAAGTGTCTTAGCGTGGTGAAGGACTAGTTAGTTCATGTTCTTATTTAAAAAAGACAAGTTGAATCTTGAATATTTTCATTATCTTTTGGAGCAAAAGGCTTCCCATTATATAACTATGAAAATTAACATGAGTTCAGAGGCTAAGGAACCAAAAGAGAAGTTAAATTAGGTCAGAATTAAAAGAAATAAGACCCTAGTAAGTAACTGAAAGTACTGGCCCCCAGCATCATTACTGTTATACATCTTGTGATTGCACCAGCTGGTAGGTAAACATATCTCATTATGAGAGGCTCAGAATTTTCCCTCACATTTTCTTACCTTAAAAAAAAAAAATTAACTTCTAAAATATGGACTGAAAAATTCTTTCGGCTTAGGACATTGCAACCAAAAGATCTTTTTTTTCCTATCTGGTAAAATTTTTACTAGTCTGAAGGTCATTTAGATCTCGTAATTTATTTCTATCGTTGCTACAGACTTATTTCACCTAAGTTTCCACCAGATGAAATGCTAAGTTCTCTTACAGTGATTTTCCTTTCTAAGTAAAATGTAAATATAATTGAATTAGAATTCTGGTGTATCCTAGTAAGAAATTAATCTTTATTGCACATTATTGTCATTTAACAAATGTTGACATTGTTGGGTTTATAGAGATCATCTTAGTTGAAATGCTACTATTTGAATAATGATATTTTTAAAGACAATGCTTCCAGAGGGTTGAAGATTTTCTGTTGCTTTCATTTCGTGAATCAGTTCATTAGGAATTTTGCCTTCTCTTTTCTAGTCATTATGTGGAGGATATAAAGATGAAGAGTGGGGTTTGTGTTGCACCTTTAAGAGTGGATGTGCATTTGGTAGACAGATAATAGGTGCAAGTGACAGTTTGTGTTGTGGAATCTAGTTCTGGAAGAATACTTGAGTGGCAAACTAGTGAATTTTAAAATGACTGAGTTTATTGTAGGGAGGTAAGAGAAAATGGGGTTGGTGTAAGTAAAGAGGGAGATGCACTGGATAAGGGTTTTATTCTGGGCCTCCTATTCACAGGTCTGTACAGCCAGGCCATGGATCTGCCCTATTCTTTCAAATCAAGAAGTTGATCTTATAAGCTTATTTCCATATTGTAGGTAGCCAACGGGTTTTATAGCTTTCCCTCTGTCTCTGGTGGCAGTGCTTCTCATAGTACCACTGTCAATAAATGTCCTAAGTGAGTTCATCTATGAGGAGGAGGCTCTTCAGGGTCCTGCAAGCACCTTCAGTGTTCCCTTCCTGCACCATCACAGTATTAGCAATGAACTTCAGCTGTTTTCCATGACCTTGGATTTAAATCTTCACTCTGTAGTACCATGTGCTCATGGGATCCAACTGACTCCCAACCCCAGATGATGAGATCTTAAAGGCAGATGCTGAAAGTGGTAGGTTGAATTTGGATTTGAGAGTGACTTATGAAACAGGGTTTGGTGATTGATTTGGTATTGGTATAGTTAATCCCAGGACTTTAAGCCGGGGAGTCTGGGATGATGGTGGTGCCATTACCTTAGAGAAGGAATACTGTAGACAAAGCAGGTTGATTAGGGAAAAGTAGTGAGCTCTGGTTTGGACTTTAAATTTTTGATGCCTGTAGGCCATTAAGATATATCCAGAAAGCATCTTGAAATTTATAAGAGCAGTAGAAGCTGGAGATAAAACTTTGTGTAAGTAGTTGTCTTGCTTTGAAGAACAAAGATTCTTACTTGAGGTAATTACTGGCTAGGTGAAACTGCTATTACCTTCTCTTAGGTAATAATAGCACCACTGTCCTCCCAGACTCCCCATCTGAAAATCTTGGGATTAACTATACAAATACCAGTGTTGGTATTGGAATGCCAATGTTGTATATCTTCATCTTTTTAGTGAATAATCCATGGCATTCAGTAGATTTTCAGAGGAATTCATTATTCCAGAGAAATTAAGAACCACTGAAGTAGACCATAAAGACCAAAGAAGTTATTGGCAAATAGTTTTAAGAGGTGGGCAAAATAAGAGGAAGCTGAGGATTGAGAATATATAAATCAAGAAAAAAGAATAAAAGATAATATAAGGAGAAATCAAAGTTGTATTCTTGAGTCTTAGTTTATTAACTAAGACAAGAATGATCTATCAATATTTTGGATACATTGATTTTTTTTTTTTTTTAAGATAGATTGATTGATTGATTTATACAAGTCTGGGGTACAGACCAGATGAGCAGGAGGATGAGAGGATTCACCAGAGACAGAGCGGGGAACAGAACAGGCAGACTGACTGAAACACACTGCTGAGGGGAGCAGCGGGCAAGACAGGAGAGGTCTGCCGCGCCATGTGTGACCCTCGCTGGCTGGCTGGGATTGAACTGGTGCTGCAGAGGCTTCGGACAGCTTCACAGCATGGCGCTCAACCGCCTGCGCCATTAGGGGAGGCTCTACATTGAGGTTTTTTTTTTTTTTTTTTTTTAAAGATTTATTTATTTATTTATACAAGCATTGGGTACAGTCAGACGTACGGGAGGGTGAGAGAATTCACCAGAGCCAGAGCGGGGAGCAGAGCAGGTAGAAGGATCGAAGTACCCTGCTGAGGGGAGCAGCGGGCAGCAGGAGAGGTCTGCGCGCCATGCGGGACCCTCCTCCGGTGGCCGGGGAGCAGCCAGGGATTGAACAGGCGCTGCAGAAGCTGCTGGCAGCTTTGCAACCCAGCGCTCAACTGCTGCGCCACTGGGGAGGCCCCCTACATTGAGTTTTCAACACTCTGAATGTGACTGAGAGGCTATAGGATCATCTCCACAGATAAACTAACCGAAGTCCCCAGAGTGAACAAAATGAGAAAAATTTGAGAATTGAGCCAAAAGAATGTCAGCAGACATTCATGTTACAGAAGAGGAGAGAGGAAGCATGGTCCGGGAGATCAGATGGTGGGAGTGTGCATTATTTAAGGAACCAAGGGAGAGAGGTAGTCATTAAGGAATTGCTGTTGAATGCTATGGAGGGCAAACAATATGGTTTGAAGATGACCTATTGGACTTGACTTTAAATTCTCTTAAAAAGGCAGATTGTTCCAACCAAAATTTTATTGTGATCACTTCCCTCATGGTACAAATCCTGTCCCACCTAGATTTTTGTGATTATGACAGACTAGTAGAACAACCATCTGTTTAGCATTTTGTTTTTGTTTTGCATACATCAATTAATGCTCATAACCAAAAGTGATTCGTTACCTTATAAATTAGTGAGGAAACTTGAGGCAGGTTAGTTAACTTGCCCAAGGACACATGGCTAGGAAGTGATAAAGCTTCCCGGTTTGTCTGGTAGAGTTTTAATAGCAGAAAATACGTGTTATCTGCTTTTGTGTCTATCCCTTTTTTGGCCTTTTTAAAACCTTTCATGCAAGGTCATTTTCTCAGAAGTCATTTGGTGAACATCTATTACATGCCAGGATGTACATAGTCCTTGCCCTTTAGCAGCACTTAGTCCAAATAGTGAGATGGAGTTGGGCATTGATAATTAATACAAACACGCTCCCAAAGCTATGCAGGAGCTGTCTTGTGGGGCTATCTTCGTATGGCTTTACAATCTTTTATACTGGGTGTTGATGATTAGACATTTGCCTTGAGAAGTGCATTCTAGGT